GGGGGCGGCCTGCCTGCCCCGGGGAGGCAAGGCAGGGGGGGCATCGCGCTGCCTGGGGTGCTGCTGCCTGCGGTGTGGGTGCCGAGGAGAGCCGGGGGCCGGGCCGGGGTTGTGCAACCCACCCGCGAGCCCCGGGGGGAGGCACCGATTGCACAAACCCGCTGGCGGAACGGGTGCCGGGCGAGTGCCCGCACCGCGCCGGGGACCGGTGTGTAACCGCCTGGTCCCCGGGGCTGGCGGGTCCCAGCTGCAGCCCTGGCTTCACGGAGGCCGTGGTGGCCCACGAGAGGGTTTGGAGGTCGTCCTGGAGGGGGAGGGAGGGGGGTAGCTTTTGGGCGAAACTCCCAGCTTGTAGCAGAAATGACTTGGAGCTGTTGGGCAGGTGTCGGAGGGGATTTAAGCAGCTGGAGGGGTGATGGCTTCTCCTCCGAAGGAGATGCTTTCTCAGCTGGAGAGCTGGGGCCGAACCCCAGCCGGGCAGAGTAGGCAGCTCCGCTCTGTCGGGCAGGGCTGTGGGGCCCGTACAGCTCTGCCCGTTTCCTCCAGCTTCAAGAAATGGATGAGAAAAGCCTCCCCTCCAGCTCCCCTCCTTCCTGGGATCTTTCGCTAATTAACCGGTGTGGCTGCTACCACGCTTACCCTCCTCCAGTCAGGTTGGTTGGGCACGCTCCGGGCTGCTGCCGTGCCCTGCAGCAGGCGGGGATGCCTGCCCGGTGCCTCTCCCGGCCAAGGCGGGGGGTGGGGGGCGTTACCCTGCCCCAGGCTTCGCCTGCGGAACTGGCAGGGGAGGCGCGGGCAGGGGCTGCCTGTTCTAGGTCTCACCTGCCCTGCAAACCGTAACCCGTCTGCGCTCCCGGGCCCCTTAGACTTTGTCCCGTGAGAAACGTGGCTGTTGCAGATGTGTCCCGCCCTGACGCTGGGCAGAAAAGCCAAAATACTGAAGTTTTGCATTGAACGTGCCCATGAGTCTCATCCCAAACCTTTCCTTTTCATCTGCCCAGTTTTGCTGTTTCCAGGCTGGGGCTGGTTTAAGTGCCCTGCTCTCGGGAGGGGATCCCAGCTCCGAGGAAGCCTGACCTGCTCCCAGTTGGCAGAGGGTTTTGTCCCAGTCCTGGGACACCTCGGGCATATGCTGGGGGCTGGGGCTGCTTCAGCAAACCAGGGTGCTTGGCCTGTGGAGAACGGCATGACGGCGCATCCCCCTGCCCAGTGCCTAACTGGATTTCACTTCCATTTTCCTGATATTTCGGCAATTTTGGTGGCAGATGTTTTATTTTAGGGACTGCACTTGTTGCTGGGGCTGGAGGATGAGTGGGAGACTGGCAGGGCGTGCTTTTCCCTGGGGAGCTCCCCTTGCTTGCACCCCTCTCTGCACAGGAACCCCCTCTCCCAGGGGGCTGTGTCCCTTTCGGTCCCTTCCCTGTGGGACAGGGCTGAACGGGTCTGGCTGGCTGCGACTGTGGCCCTGGCCTCGCCAGGGCTGTGGGCAACTGTGCATGCCGTGGGGCAACCTGGGGCATCTGAACAACCCCTGTCCTTGCTCCAAACCATGGTAGGAAGAGCTGCCTGTCCCCCCTCACCTCCCCCTGGCTTCCCTCGACAGCCCAGCCCAGAAACTCGTCTTCAACAGAGTGAATGGCAAGAGGCCACAGGTGCTGCCGCAGCAGGTCTCGGCGCCTGAGGAGTGCTACACGCTGGCCCATGAGGAGAACGTCCGCTTCGTCTATGAAGGTGAGGGCAGAGGGTCTCTGGGGGCAGGCACCTGCTTGCCGTCGCATCC